GTATAAGAGACAGGTATAAAGCAGAGGTAACAGGATATAATAATATTCAACCATTTGGAAATTATGGCGGCTATGCTGCAGATGAATTCTATGGTGGTGCTCGGACGGTGCGATATGGACAGAATGCAACAGGTCGACACCGACAAGCAGCTCATTTAATTCAGCAGCAACAGAGGGTAGCTAATGCCCTTCGACCACAGTCTCATGATGTACCGCATAAGAATAAAGACACATTCAGTCTTGCAAAGCAGATACAAAAAATGGAGGTGAGTAGGCCTATTAACTGCTAGTCTCCATTATTTCAGAAATCCACATTTTATGTAAAATGCAGGTATCAAACAGGTGGTATATACTACTACTACTTTCTATTAATTGAGGAATCAGTACTTACACAATCACATCAGCTCTTAATACAAGATTGGTGCTCATGTTCTACATCTTCCTTTTCAAACCACCATATCTTCCATCCCAAGCTTTTATCTTATCCCATCTTGATTTCCGCAATTCATTATAGACACTTTAAAGAATCTCAAATTTCAACAGACTTCAAGAGCTGTCTCTTATACACATCTAGATGTGTATAAGAGACAGTATATATATATATAGGCCTAGGATGATTTTTATAAATATCTGTCTGCACATTTTGGAAAATAAAAAATTAGGCCTTGACCTATCTCTTAATATGTAACCAATGTATTTTGCATTAGTTATGATTCTGCGCATCTATTTTCTTAGCAATTTTCCGTGCAAATTTGAGATAGTTTTCAGGTATCAACCGCGCAGTTAAAACACTTTACATTTTTTTTGGTAATGTCGTAGGTAAGCTTGTACTTTTCTTTCAATTTCAGCATTGGAATATTAGTTCCGATATGATTGTGCATTGTTGGCATAAGCTACCCACAAAAAACATGTTTAAAAAGTCTGGAGAAATCTGCCACTGATCTCCCCAGATTCAAACCAATGGGTAGTGGTGCCTCAAAGGCACCAAAGCCACAAGTAGTCAAAGTGATGCCAGAACCTACAACGACAAAACAGCGCAAGAAAAGAAATCAAGAATTTCGTGAAATAGAAATTACAAATCCTAGTGCTGAAGCAAGTAGCTTTGAAAAAGGTCACCCTAGTACAAGGGGTCAAGGAGCGCCCTCCAATGGTTTGTCACAAGGCAGCAGTCATGTGATAGAAGAACCTCTAGGAAATGAACAGATGAAAAGTCAATTACAGAAACATCTTGAAAATCCAAATTTTGATGAACTAAATCATAAATTGGAGGGCAGTGGTCAGGTAGCAGGAAATGGAAGTGTGCAGCAAGAAGCTGAAAGGGGAAGGTGGTATGACGAAAATCAGAGATGGCACCCAAAGAATCAGTTACAAGGTGGAAATTCACATGATCACAGTAGGCCAGAAATTAGTCAGTATAAAGCAGAGGTAACAGGATATAATAATATTCAACCATTTGGAAATTATGGCGGCTATGCTGCAGATGAATTCTATGGTGGTGCTCGGACGGTGCGATATGGACAGAATGCAACAGGTCGACACCGACAAGCAGCTCATTTAATTCAGCAGCAACAGAGGGTAGCTAATGCCCTTCGACCACAGTCTCATGATGTACCGCATAAGAATAAAGACACATTCAGTCTTGCAAAGCAGATACAAAAAATGGAGGTGAGTAGGCCTATTAACTGCTAGTCTCCATTATTTCAGAAATCCACATTTTATGTAAAATGCAGGTATCAAACAGGTGGTATATACTACTACTACTTACTATTAATTGAGGAATCAGTACTTACACAATCACATCAGCTCTTAATACAAGATTGGTGTTCATGTTCTAATTCTTCCTTTTCAAACCACCATATCTTCAATCCCAGGCTTTAATCTTATCCCTTCTTGATTTCTGCAATTCATTATTGACACTTTAAAGAATCTCAAATTTCAACAGACTTCAAGAGGGTTCAGAACTTGGCTGCATGAAGTATAACTTTCACAATTTTTTTGCTCCTGCATCACACACCTGTTCTCTGAGAACTGGACATTTACCCATTGAATTTCATGTTTAAGTTCAAGATCTTCTTCCTCACTACTAAAGCACTTTTCTTTCAGTGCTCATTCCAAAACTACATTTGTGGCAAAGACAAGCTAAACCAGTCACTCGTCGCAAATCGTGTTTCACAGAAAATGGCAAAATCATGCTGGAATGTCAAATTTTTGAAAATCTATTTTATTGCACTAAACTAACCTTTATATACCTACACATCATTCTATGCTGTTATTTTCCCAATGTGCAATGTTAAAACAACATTTTTTAGGGATTTGATGATAGTTTCTGCATGAGAAATGCCTGAAATCATAAACTTTGAAGGCTGATTTCTCATATAATAGTTCTTTCAACAGCTGTGTGTTTAAACGCTTGTAACTTCATAAGGAAATGTCCGATTTGAATGATTTTTTTACCATTTTATAGCTATTATTTTACTCCATAACACTGTATTAATAACTCAAAATTGATTTTTGCGACGATTGACTGGTTTGGCTTGTCTTTGCCACATTTATGTTAATGGATACACCTTCAGAAAATCCGATGATTTTATTATTCCAAGAATTATTTTAATTTTGTATTTCTTAGGATGAAGATGTGATTGTATTTGAAACATTTTATCACCATAATGGAAGATCATACACCTGCATCAATCAAGGAGGCCAACGATTCTACATGGACTCCTTTGACACGCAGGTACAGTATTGGAGCTGACAGACAATAGCTTGATATTGATGCGGCAAGCCTATTATAGATGCACTTGCCCATGACCTTGTTTTCTCTACAAAATGTATATTCAAACCAAACCATGTCTTAGAATTCAGACGATAACTGATGACTATGTGACGTTATTACATCCTCAATCTATCGTTGTCATCTTATCATTAAAAGACACTTTATACATCTCTAATGAGGCATGCCATCCCAAATCCAGCATCAGTGACTAAAAAAAAAATGAAGATTGACTTACTATTGCCAAAGTTATAAGTAGAAGTACTGTATTATGGCTCCTCTGTATTAACGTATGCAATGCTGCGACATTCTCCTGCTAATTTCTCAGTTTAAAAATTATCGACAGTATGTTGATTTTGGAATGCAAGCCTCAAATATGGATTTCAAATTAAAATTAATATGAAAATGTTGCATATTGTTATGTTGTTAATGTTAGCTTTCAGCCTAATATTGTTGGTTGTACTTTGTTACAAATGTCATAACATCACAGCACTTATTTTTATCTGAATTCGCCCATTATATTGTTTGTTTTATGTCATGTTATAAAATGAATATCATATTGTGGCTGCTCAGTTATACACCTATCACTTAAATACAAACTAGGATTAAGTTCAGAGGTTGGCTTGTACCTTCATATTTGAATAAGATTGAATCTGAATAAAATTGAAGTACAAATTTATAATAATACTAATTCTCTATAATGCATAATAATAGGAATGGCAGCCATTTCCCAACCTCTGGTACTCTCAAGGCCACTTTGAGCGGGATGGAGAAGCAATAAAAGACGCCGAACAGGCTGACCCTCTAGCCCGTCAGGAGCTCCAATTTGGTATGACGCCATCAACAAGTTACAACCAACAATCACTGCCCACATCTTTAAGAGATATTAATGTCTCCCCTGGACTTGGTGGCTCTCAAATGGATGATCGAGCTGGTACCATTCAACATCCCACAAGAGGGCGCATTCTGACATACATCTTTGAGGTAAGATTCATTCAAGTGCCTCCTCATACTGTACTGTATTCAGGATGTTTACATTTTAAACTAGAGTAATTATTCCATAGAGTACATTTTTTCGCCCTGTGCCTGAATACAGTACTAACAATAAGCAGGCCATGTATGATGGGTGGCACTGTGTACCCTCAAGAAAATAATGAAATCACCCGACGTATTCAGGTACAGTACATTGTTTTCTTGAGTGCTGTGGGTATAAAATCAGATTTCCTTGACCTGGACGATATCTTTTGACTATCTCTTTCGAAAATTGAGGGGGCTTTTTCTTCGATTATTATGCACCATTCCGCGAAATTTTATGATGATCCAATCATTAGTTTTGTGTAATTTGCTAACAGTCAACGAACAGAAAGACAGACAAAAGGACCTTGGCAGAGGTAACAAACAGAAAGGACGAATGCAGGGGTCACCAAATTTATGACCTTGACATGCAGTACGGTACTGCATCATTTAAAATGGCTTTATAGACAATAAATTTAGACTGCATTACAATAATAATATGCTTTTTTAACATTTAATCATTGTTAGCATGTTACCTAGACCAATTAAAGGTCCCAAACTTAGAGTGAATGTTTATCGTTAATATTGCTTCATTTACTTTTTTCTTGTATTTAGGAGAAACGCAACATCCACTGTTACTTTGATGATGCAACAGGGGGATGGATTAAGATGCCGATTTCTTGGGAACAGCACACAGATTTCATCAAACCCCTCGTACAACAGATTAAGGTATGAAATGGACAGGATTTTGAAGGCTTGTGTTTGACAGCTGTAGTAGAAAATATATTAAAGATTAGCTATTCTATAAAATTTACCAATCCAACCATCGGTGGAAAATTTATTGAAAATCGCTCATTTTTGCCTTAAAATAGGAGGTGAATCTACTTTTTATTTTCCTATTCTATACTGAATTTTTCATATTGATATTATTTTAATATGTATTTTTTTTTGTATTATGCAGTAGTTTGAGAATAATGTAATGAATTTTTCATATTGATATTATTTTAATATGTATTTTTTTTGTATTATGCAGTAGTTTGAGAATAATGTAATGAATTTTTCATATTGATATTATTTTAATATATATATTTTTTTGTATTATGCAGTAGTTTGAGAATAATGTAATGAATTTTTCATATTGATATTATTTTAATATGTATTTTTTTGTATTATGCAGTAGTTTGAGAATAATGTAATGAATTTTTCATATTGATATTATTTTAATATGTATTTTTTTGTATTATGCAGTAGTTTGAGAATAGTGTAATGAATTTTTCATATTGATATTATTTTAAAATGTATTTTTTTTGTATTATGCAATAGTTTGAGAATAATGTAAGCTAAAGCCCTGTCCAGACTATCAAATTTTATTTGACAAAAACATGTGACATGCCTAAATATGGTCATGATGACATCACATCCTGACCATACATCATGACTATATATGGTCATACAACCTTTTTTTTTTGTCAAAGAATTTTGATAGCGTGTACAGAGCTTAAGGTATAAAAACTGTTGTATGCCCTCTTACAGTCATGATATGCCTATATATGGTCATGATGTGATGCCATCATGACCATATTTAGGCATTTAACATGTTTTTGTCAAACTAAATATGATAGTCTGGACAGGATTTAAGGCAAAAGAGGGAGTATAGCAGCTTTGCCGCATTATTTGCTGATTAATTAAGTGCCTTGGGTTTAAATTCTGGTGGGAACAAAACCTTTTTCCCAGAGTACTGTATAAAAGATGTACAGAGATTTTGTTCCTACAATTAATTTATTTTCTTATTCAGGAAACGCTCCCAACATGGGAAGATAAATATGATATTGTTGCTGCTTTACGGCAAAGTAACTATGACCTTGATGATACCGTGTCAACATACTATGCAGTGGGGGACACAGGAGTAATGGACACCCCCGATAGACTTGCCGGATTGAACTCTAACGTGATCAAGGAAAAAGATGACCGGATTTCCATTCTGCAAACAAAACTCGCAAAATTAGTAAGTTGAGAGTTTTATGCTGGGTTATTATATTTTTATTATATTTGTTATACTATAGAGATAAGATAAAGATAGTTTTTTTCTTCTACAAAGAGATACTTCTTTATGCACCCAATCCGTATAACATATAAATATATACATCTTAAGACAGTAAAATACAAACATATTTTCCACCAATTAAAATGACATTAGAGTATTCCATTATTCCATTGTCGTTATGATGATGATGATTATTAATATTGTAAATATAATATAATCTGTTATAACTATTTATTATTGTTTTATTATTGTAATTGTTTTCATTATAAATACGGTAATTATATATCTTAATAAATACACCGATGTTATCATACTTATTTAGGAATTTATTTATTCACTGTTTTTATACAGTAGTTTTAATTATTCTAATTTTTTAAATTTTCATATCTCTCAGAGCTGAGCGGTTGGCTGATGTATTGTTCCTTCCTCTTGTGCTAAACACCCCAATTCAAACCTGGCCAGCATCGGGTTTTAATTGGAATCTCATCGCTTGGCTGTTTGAATAGCCCTCATATTGAGAGTTAGATGAGTTAATGACAATGTTTGTGTCCGTTATGTTGTAGTTAAGTTGGATGGTGCTGAACTGTGGCTGCAGTGGGTCTCCAGGGGCCCAGCCCAAATTCCCGATTTCCTATTGAATGAGGACCAATAGAGATTTATTATTAATATGGGTCATAACAAGTCACAACCCTTTTTTTTCAGTCAAGAGAGCATGAAATGATGAAAATGGAGAACCACGAGCTTGAGACAGATAACAATATTATGAAAGTCCAGGTAAGTTTTATCCTGTAGTTGGACTTTCAAATATGGGAAGGGGGCTGCCCACAGGACAGGGGATTAAACCTTTCTTTTGTGAGTATGAGTAAGTTTTATTTGATCTCTGAAAACAGCTGGATGAAACAGAAAAATTAAATGTGCTCAGATCTTCATGAAGTACTGATTTTACAAGAACTTCATTGACTACATGTTTCTTACAGAGGCATCTTCAAGAGTTTGTTCATGATTTTTTAAGATGATGAAAAATAAACTGTGAGGTGATGTGTGTGGTATTTCTTTGTTGGTGCTTTTTAGGTTTACGGTAATTTTTTGGTTCCTTTCTTCTGTAGTGCCTTGAGCATTACTGCAGTGGATATGTGTGCTTTATAAACATTTTTGTGATGATGCAATTTGGATGTGTGATGTAGAGGGCACTGTAGCACTTCTAGTTTGCTTCATTGTACTTGTATTTTCATATATGCAGACACAGGAATTCTGAATTTGCATATCCATGCAAATACACAGATGTTCGCAACCGCAGTGTATATGCTTTTGCGGGCTCTCGCAACAAGTTTTCTGCAATATTAAATATGCCGCTTAATGGAAATTTTTTATTTTATGATGAAAATGAATGTTTATGTCTATAAAGTTTACCATGCTACAAGAGCAAGTTACAACTTTGGAGGTGGATGTGAAAACAGCAAACCTAAAGGTTACATCTTTGCAGCAAGAACGTCCAAACACCGCAAGACCAATCACTCGGATGAATACTAAGATAGTAAGTGTCAAATTTAGATGTAAAATATTATTATTCATTTATTCAAATATATTTTAAGTGGGTAGTCCTTTCATCCTGGCTGATATGAAGGGGCCCACTTAAACAAATCAATGACAAAACTAAACAGTATAAAGGTAATGGAATAACACAGACAGAAAGCTATAATAAGAAACACAAACATATACATGAAAATAAAGTTGGTAAGCAGGGAATCAGAACTAAAACCCGGAATTGAGAATGCAAGATTTGAGTTTTAGTGTAAATGAATGGAAAGATCTAGAAAACTTAAATGGAATTTTATTTTTTTATGCTTCTTCAATCCTTTTGGACCCCTCCTGCATCTGCCAATGACCTATTAATTTATAGTCTAAGAGCTTATTTATATTTGGGGGTGGGGGTGAGTGTGGGGGCTATGAACAAAGCATATTTCTGTATGATTTATTATTAATAATATAAATGCAATATGTACAGGCACAAACTTTAATTTTTTTACTGGAATTATTTTTTTTTATCAGCAAGCCCCAGAGCCCCAGGTCCCAGTTATTGATGAGGAAACTCTGAAGAAGGTTGACAAGCAGATTAAGGCACTAGACAAGGCTCATCGTGGTCTGAAAAATCATGTTAAGGAGTGCTTTGCAGGTAAGACTCTTGATGTATTCATTGTGGTTGGTTTATTATGGTTTACTGAGTCAAAGATTGTAGATTGTAGAGAGATAGAGTTGCAGAATATTTGGAAAAGGATTGGAAGTGAATATAATGGTAAGGTTAAGGTGGGAGAATAAACCATAACTCGCAGTTTCCTTGTGCTGAATTGCGTATAGGCGTAGTCCGTGACTACCTAGCGGCCGTAAAGAGGCACTTATATTCACATCATTCCACAATGACAAGGGCTGAAATAAACCATAGCATCAGGGTAACCCCCTACGCTTCAGAAAGACGCAACAGGTTCTTGAAATTGAACACGAGATAGATGCGTACATTGGACCTTTATTTTAAGTCTTTGACTTCTACCAAATGAACCATGTGCGAGGATCGGCTCAAACCAGCACTGATGTTAAGGGCTGTAGTTAGCGGTGCCCCTGCCTTACCACTTGGCCACTCAACTTGCCCAATGCCATTCGACTCATAGAAGGATAAGAATACCATTGGGAGAGAATAGGAAAGGGGTGGGGAACAGAGTCAGATTGGACCAAGATTGCAAATGAGCTGGTAGAATGGAATGATGAATTATGGAGACATGAAATGAAGGCTAAGAGACGAAAATTAGCAAGATTAGATAACAAGGCAAATGCAGAGGAGGGGTGGTACATAGTGAAAGTAAGAGATGCATTAGAAATGAATATCATTTGCTTTTATCACAGACATAAATGACTTATTGGGACAGGCGCGTAAAGCTGTGTCACAGATGACAAACATTGGAAGCAGCACTAATCAAGAGCTGGAGGATTTGAAGGTGCTTTACAAGAAAGAGTGTCTTCAAAGGAAACTCCTTTACAATCAGGTGAATAGGAACAAAAATCAATGTAACAACACCACAGCAATCTTTTATAAAACTCAGGCCAACTCAGTCAACGCCGCATGATGCAGCCTGATGCACTTCATTGGAGAACAGTCTTAAGCTGTAGCAAGAATATTTAACAAGTGAACAACCAAAATTTTGGCCAACCAAAATGGATAGAAATTCTTTATAAACTAAAACAGTAAAAACAGTACCGCGTGATTTAATCAACAATATTTTTTTCCTACATACTGTAGATTCAAGAACTACGTGGCAATATACGCGTTTTCTGCCGTGTACGCTTTGACGATCGGACTGAGAACTGTCATGAGTTTCCATCCGATCAAGATATTATGTGCAATAATGCAGCGGGAAAGAAGGCCAGCTTTATGTTTGACAAAGTATTCACTCCGGAATCAACTCAGACAGAGGTAAAGTATAGTATAACTAAAAACCATGCATTCCATGGTGACACCACTGAGCATGCCTGGTAAAAGTGTATTAAAGTCCGGTGACCAGATGCAATATGCATTTCATGGTGACACAACCACTGAGCATGCCTGGTAAAAGTGTAAGACTGATGACCAGATGCAGTGTGCCTTTTCACTGAGGCATTTAAAAACCAACCAGTATTTTGGGCTATATACTGTACAGTAGTGTACGAATAATTTGGTGCTGCGTAACGGCCTTGAGTTCTCGGGGAGGCGGACCCCCAACCAATAGATGCCCTGCTGAGGCCCAAGCCCCTGTTACAACTACTCAGGACTGCAGTACAGATACTTGACCAGCGGTCTTTCATGGGAAAAGCTTCATTCTCCAGATTATAAGGGACCAGGAAGGGACACAGTCCCCTTTTAATAATATCACTGCTGATTATGTACTTAAATGCATCACACATTTTAAAAAAATAGAACTGACATTGTATAAACAATAATACTTTTTTTTTTTCCAGCCACATTCATATCTTTTTAGGTACCAGAATACCCACCCCTAAATCATTTTGTTGTCGAAAATACATTGCTGACATGCAAGGATCCCAACATTTTATCGCCCCTGGCCCCATGACTCGTCACACCACTGTGCTTGACGTGTTTTCTAAAGATAATTTTCATAGTCAGAGGTACATTGATTTTTGTCTTGCCTTCTACCCGGGTATTTGTGTCAGTGGTACACCATGAAAATATTCCAGAGTGTATATGTTCCTTGATCCTTTTCTATAGTACTCTAATTGGCATTTCTGACCTTTCAGCTAAATGCAACAAAAGCAGCCATAGGAATCCAACTATGATTAACATTGGAGCAACAAACCTTTTTACTTTTAGCAACATTAAAGCATAAATTACAAGTAAGTCTTTTTTCTATGGAAATATTCCTAGGTATTTGCGGAGGTTCTACCAACGATAACATCTTGTGTCGATGGCTACAATGTCTGTATCATGGCATATGGTCAAACTGGATCGGGAAAGACGTTCACAATGATGGGACCACCTGCGGACCCTGGTGTTAATATCAGATCCATCAGGGAGCTACTGAAAGTCTGCAGTGAACGTACTAAGATATCCTACACCCTTAAGGTAAGGCTGGTGCAGAAGTCAGCACTTTGTTTGTTTAAGGATACTCTGCTGAGCTTGTAATACAGTATATAATTTAGTATATTTTATTGTGGTAGGTAAGGTTATAATTTATCCAATAACAGATACATAATTAATATTAGTATTATTATTTTAGCAGTATACTATACCATTGTATAAACTTTTGCACATTGCCACATGTCATGACCATGTCTCATTACCATGTTTCAGTACACTATGTCACATTACCAAGTCTCATGACCGTGATTGTCATAATTTTATGTTATATTACCATGTCTCACGACCAAGTCTCATTACCAATTTACCATGTCTCATGACCATATCATGATACCATGTCTCATACCAATTTACCATGTCTCATAACCAAGTCCCATGACCGCTGATCACCTTGTCTCAATACCATGTCTCATCACCATGTCACGTTACAATGTCTCATGACCAATTCTCATTACCATGTCTCATTCATGTCTGAATATCATGGCATGTTACCATGTCTCATGACCATGAGTTTGTGACCACGTCTCATGACCATGTCCTATGACCATTTCTCATTACTATGTCTTCTTGGTTTGATTGCCTCACTTATAGGTTTCTATGGTTGAGGTATATAATGAGCATGTACGGGATTTACTGTCAGAGCAAAACAAGGAAGCATTGGACATAAGGATGCAGGGGAAGAGACTAGTCATTAAGGGACTGACAGAGTTCCAAGTGAACGACGAGAGTGACATCACTAAGGTCATGGAAATTGGAGACAGGAATCGGTCTGTAGCATCTACCAAAATGAATTCAAGCAGGTAATAATGATGATGATACTGTATTACTGTAATTATGATGATGATTATTATGATGGTAGTGGTGTTGAGAGTGATTACTTGTTTTATTATGAAGACAATGTTTAGCCGTTTGTTTCATTATGAAGACAATGTTTAGCTGTGTTTGTCTGCTATAGAACAAAATAAAACAAATAATAGCAACACTTTTAAGACTAACCTCTGTAATGTAATCACATCAAAACTGAAGGCTTTAGAAACCTTGTTTACTCCCTCTACACTCAGGATTAGCAGTAAAGTATGAACAAGAACTAATAAAAAAAAAATTAATATCTTTTCATTTGAGATTAAATTTTATAAAAGTTAGTCTTAAAAGTGCTGCTGTCTTTCTTTTTTTATATTGTTTCATTATGTATTTTGTAGTCGTCTTAAACTTAGCTTTTGTGAATATTGTTCATGTCTATGATTTTGCTTTTACTATATTTTAATACATGACAAGAACTTAAATTGTGCTAAAAATGACAATAAGAAATTAACAATGATGACGATAATGATAATGACAACTGAAGACTGAGGATGATGAGGGTGGTGGGAGAAGTGAAAAGATATTAATTTTCTTTTTTTTTATTAGTTCTCGTTCACACTTACTGCTAATCCTGACTGTAGAGGGAGTCAACAAGGTGTCTAACGCCACAAGTTTTGGGTCACTGACTCTGGTTGATTTAGCTGGATCTGAGAGAATTGCCAAGACAGAGGCAACTGGGCAAAGATTAGTGGAGGCTGCCGCTATTAACAAGTCACTTACCTCACTCGGACAGGTGATTTTTTTTATTGTAATAGGTACCCCTATTTTGGGTTGCAACCGAACATTTGTGAGTCAAGGATTTAGAAGATTGATTATCAACAATTTATTCACAAATTTTAGGATTAATTAGTGAATTAATTAATTAATTAATTAGTTAATTTGTGTTATTTCTTTCTTACAGGTTTTCACAGGCTTGAGATTAAATACTTTGCATATACCTTACAGAAATTCCAAATTAACACACCTTCTTCAGCCATCACTAGGAGGAGATGCAAAAGTAAGATTTCTTATGTCTTCATGCATGTAAAAAAAGCAACTGAAATTGTCTTAAGTGCTAAAAACCAGCTATAGCTTGAAAACAATTTCAGCTATAATACGGGCTGCTATAATATCCAGGGACAGAACTACAACCGCTGGGCCAACAAGCAAAATCAGTCACAAAGACATGGGCATGACTTCCATATCCTACACTCAGCAAGTTGAAACACAGAATTCACAAACATACTCTCATATGTGGGAATGGTTGATACAGCAGTTGTGCTCTGGTTTGTCAACCTCGAGGTTAGGTTCAAACCTTCACTGTGCATTTTGTTTGTGTCCTTTGACAAGGCACTTTGCCTACGCTTGTCTCTTTGCACCCAGGAGTGTAGTTGAGTACCTGGTTAAAATGTACTGGGGGAATTAAAAAGGTGCCATGGAAGGGAACTGCTCCCCCTACCATAATTGCTGAAGCTTAGTACAATGGGCTCATTCTCCTATGTTCATTAATGAATATGGAACTAGATTTTACCTTTTACTCTCATGAAAATTGTATTTCTGCATGTGTTAAATATTTTTCAGGCTTGTTTATTTGTTAACGTGAGTCCAGACAAGAAGAACAAGAGCGAGTCAATGAGCACACTTCAGTTTGGAGCAAACGCTAAACAAGTTCAACTTGGTAAAGCAACTCAAAACATCAAGGGCCATTAAGGAAATGTTAAATAATCTAAAATCTAATACAATAACTTGACCACATGGGCTGCTGCTGTATCACAGATAAAACCCAACCAGAACACTTCTTCAAACATTGAGAGATTGCGGGTTCAATTCCCACCAACAAGGCACAATTAATAAGGAACTTTTTTGTTAATGTTTTATTACCAAAACGATTTTTACTTCATTGTTCCTTTCCTCCGCCATGGAAGTAATTATGTATTCACTGCTATCTGTGTGTTAGCAAGATTACACAAATGCTAAGAATGGATCATTGTAAAATTTAGTGGAATGTTACATCGTAATCGAAGAAAGACATTCCGTTTTTGGAAGGAAAGGTCAAAGGACAAGGCAAAGGTCATAGAAATTCAAATTTCCCACCATATTCATTCAGCACTCAAGAAAACAAGGTGCATGAATATGATGGGCAATTCCATTATTTCCTTGAGAGTGTGCTGCAGTCTCTCCCATCATACACGGCCTGCATATTGTGTAGGTTCATGGCCACTCTATGGAGTGTCTGCTATAGTTCGAGCATTGTTTATACCATCATTTTATGTTTATGAAATAATATATTATAATAACAATAGATAATAATAACTTGTGCTAAATATTGTCTTCGTAAAAAATTTGTAAGAGTTCTATTAGAGGCTGGAATAATGAGGCAACCCATGATATTCAGTAATAATATTGACTTTATATTTTTTTTATAAAAGTTATTTTGCTTTCACCTGGTGTTTTTTTGTTTTTTTTTCTGGGTGTTATTTTTCTCTTGTTTGTACTGTGTGGCTTCTGCTTTTTAAGGTTTCTCCATATGTTCATATATCCATATACATTTGCATAGAGGTTTATATTTATATACTGTTATGTATTTTACATTGTTTCTTACCTGTAAGTGGCGATTCTTCACTGTTGGAAAACTAAATAAAAATAAAACAATTTGGAGTTATGATATTTCTATTGATGACTGTACATATTAATTTATGCCAGGACCGTCCTACCAACAGACTTTCTTCTGATACATTTATGTTATCTGTTCCTCAATGTAAATCAAAATCCCATAAATATAAAATTTTCAGAAAATTATGCCCATCTGGAATAACCTTCCTTTAGTAGGGGGTGGAGGGATTTAGGGGGACTGCCTGGTCCCCATTTTGAAAATTAAAATTTAAAAAAAAGAAAGAAAAAGAAATTATTGATCGCCCAAAATACAAGATACAAGATAACTTTATTGTCCGAATGAAAATTACATTTGGATGTTACATCGCATGAAAAATGCATCAGGGCTTATTTCTGGGTGTATAGAAAACAAAAATTTCATTGTCGCATGATTGACCCCCTAGAGTAGTGTTGTCTCTCGGTCACCCCTGCTTTCGGACATCTCTGGATCAACCCCTATTATCTAATTGATTAGATTCTTTTTAACTTTCAAAAAAACAAAATGTTTGAATTTTATAATGCTAAATTGAAATCAAATTTTCTTCCTAAGAATACTTGCACATGGATATTGTTTTGTCACTGCATTGCTGTTGTTAAATGCTGAAATTTTTCTAATTAAATTTTTTTTTTTTTTTCAAATTACACAAATCTTTAAGTTTTATTTATTTTTGGTTGTAATTTTACTATTTTAAATGTTATTTTTAGGTGTGAATTTTTAAAATAATATATTTTTTTTATGTATCTGTTGTAATCCATGTAAATATGTCAATTTAAATGAACAAATAATTCAATTCTTTTGAATTTTATTGTAAATAATTATTAATTTCAATAATTTTGATTGTAATATTAATTTAAGCTATAGTAATAATTAAAAAACATAATCTTATTTAATTGTATTTCAATTTAATTTGTAAAAATAATTTGAATAATGTAGGTTTTATTTCATTTTTTCCTTTTTATTCTATTGCAACTTTGTTATATTTATATTTTTATAAAGGTGACAGTTTATTGCAAAAATCAGCAAGAAAATGTCAATGCCATAACTAAATGAATGAATTCCTTCATGAATTAATAAAGTGCAGGAAACATTGAGCAAATTATATAATGCAATATGTAAAAAAATGACTATAGGCTTATTGTATTTATTTATATGAGTTGACTAGTATTGTAAAATACATATAAAAATGATGCGGGCTTTATTAAATAAAACATGTGTTATGAATACACAGGGTACAGTATGCTTATTTCTCCGTGAATAAATAATCATAAACACATTATATAATGCAATATGTATAACAATGACTATAGGCGTATTGTATTTATTTATACGAGTTGACGAGTATTGTGAAATACATATAAAAATTATGTAGGCCTAATTAAACATGTGTTATGAATACACAGGGTGCAATATGATGTGAATTATTTCAATACACCTATTAATTGCCTTTTGATTTAAACCTACAAGTTTATACCTTAGAGTTTTGATTAACAGACTGCTGGTATGGTTTTATATTTTCAATTAATTGACAAATAGACTACGTAGGTATTTTTCCATGGACAGAACTATCAGGTGATAAATGTATACTAAGAGCAATAAGAATCAGGGGAATCAAATTGGGGTGGAGGATCAATGTTATTTTTCACATAGTTACATAATTTTCGTGCTGATTCTGACCTTATGGTACCCAAGGATCATGAAAATATCGATTATTTTTTATTTAAATTTGTACAGCATAATTTTCATAGCGTTTAAAAGTTTTAATTTTCCCAGACTCGCACACATTGGCCTGATTAAGTATCATCCGGTTTAACATTATTCAAGCTTAAAAAGGGTCCAAGTAGCGTTTGTCAACCTTCAGAGTATTGTTGTGATCCGCAGGTCCCAATTGAACACAAAAGAGCCGAAACTGGTCCGGTCAAAAAATCATGCCAAAAAAAAAAAATCGTGAGCTAGGCCTATACACTTTACATTTTTGCAAAAATTTGTCAATTTTTCACCAAGTAGTTTTCGTGCTGATTCTGACCTTACAGTGGTACGTAAGGATCATGCAAATATCAATTATGTTTGAATTAACCTTGTACAGCATTATTTTCTTAGCGTTTAAAAGTTTTAATTTTCCCAGATTCGGACACGTCGTTGGCTTCTCTTATAGATGGTGATAGTTACATTTAGTGGTACGGTTTTTAGAAATGAATGCGTTTAATTATCTGACTTGGGGGAGTGGGCACAAACATTACTAAATAAAATCATGTTATACGGTACTTCATTAGTTGACCACACAAATGATTTGTTTTTATCTTACTCCAGTTATTACTCTTTGATTCTATAATGTTTTTAAATTGAAAACTAATCTTAAGCTTAAATAATATTAAATTGTCATACTGTACTCAATTGGGCCCATGTGTCCGAATTTGGTAAAATTTAAACTTCTAAACACGATATGTTTGTATTTACATTTTATCCTTCGAGTTGAAACACAGTGAAATTAGAGAATGGAATTTAACCGAGACTAAAAAGGTTAACATGGTATCCAAAAAGCATGAATACCGATTACTGGTATCAAAGAACACAAAACCTCCGTACAATTATAGGAGGGTCGAAAAATCGCCCAATTTTGACAAAAACCATAAGCTGTGTGTTTTGCCAAATTGTATTGTTGTACCTGGTCGTTTATTTTTTGAAAAATAATACTTTGGGAGCCTTTGAAGCGAGAATTCTCGGTAGTATGGGAGGTAGAGCTGTTGGCTCAGTATTCTTTTATAGTCATTTGTAAACATAGTATTTACATTATAATAACATTGTAAGGGTCGGCTCAGAGTAGAAAATGTAGTAAACTGTAAATAATATATAAGATACAGTAAATAAACGCAGGTAAAATTATCCCCCTACAAGTCACCTCCGGTATCTCTAATTTATTTATAAAATAATAATTTATATATTAAAAAGTGACTAAGCTACATAGTAAAAACTACCCCACCCGAACACCGTCAAAGTATTTATGAGTGAACTTTCTATTGTTTTTCTCTGTTTATAATGTAATATATGTCTACTCAAATCATTAAGAAGAAAATACCATTTAAGTGCACTTCCTCAAAAAAGGTCTTTATATTTGAAGTCGAAAAACATCAGTGTCGGCGCCACCAGCGTGAGGGATAGTAGATGATCTGGGGAAACGGGAACTTGGACTTCCATCGACAAATTTCGTAGCTAACACTACTTTTACAGTCTCAGGGTGAAATTTCCTGCCATGGATTGTCGAGAAATTTGGATCTTCATATCGGGAAATCTATGGCGCCGTCACTGCATTACGTCCGATTGGGGCAGTGGGGGGGGGGGGGGTCTGGTGGTGAGGTGGTGAGGTTTCGTCGGATCTACGCCATATTGCCAAAATCCAGTTTGCTGAATCCCAGATTGCCTAGTTCACTTTGCCGAAATTCCATTTGCCGAAACCTAGTTTGCCGAAAGTCAGTCAAAATCGGTGTACAGTTGTACACCCGAATCAAGGGGCTGACTAGAGCCTCTATATCAGGGTCACGGCATACAAAAAATCCATGTGTTCGCGTTGGAAGTTTTTCAGGGGTTTTTATATACCACATTATTAGAAACTGACAATCTAAATAACGTTATATGGATACGCCCTGAGGCGTTTATTGTTGGGAATGGTTTTTTTAGGGGGAGTTTATTCGACGGAGGTGTTTATGGGAGGAGAGCATTAATTTTTTTGTGTAAATGGATACGTACTGTCTCAAACGCCCCCTACTTCCACTGTTATTAAAATGTAATTCTACTGGAGTAAAACATTAATAGAAAGTGTTGGGAATGATGTTTCCATTACATCTGTTTACAATATCAAGGGCGAGTTTATTCGAGGAAATATATACGCCACGGCATTTATTGAGGCGTTTATTCAAAATGAGGCTTTAGAAGGGGCGTTTATTCAAAGCTGAGCGTTTACACGGGTACAAATACGGGAATGTAAATATGGCTCTGCCCTGATCCACCCATCATGTTTTCAAAAGCACAGTATGCTGTATTTTGTACGATGGTGACGGCAAATGATTCGGCATCTGGGTTTCGGCAAACTGGGATGTCATGATTTCGGTGAACTGGATACGGCAAACTGGGTTTCGGCATAGAGCCCGTTAATTTGGCAATCATGGGTTTCGGCAAACTGGATTTTGACAAACTAGTCGGTTACCGTTTCGGCCCCAGTGCTAGACCAATTCGAGGATGGACGCTAATAGGGGTGAGCGCTGAACTAATAATTTCTAGGTTTAGCCTGGTAGGGCACTACTGTCCTTGGCAGCAATTTTCCTTCAGATACCTGGTTGGTTGTGCACCTGTCTCATAATATCCAAATTACGGTTGAAGCAAGCGTGTATGTAAACTACCGGAACTGTGTCGTAGACACGTCGGCGGAAAAACATCTTCGAAAATATTGAATTTTGGAATGGTGTTGCTTTCAAATAAAAAAATATACATATAGGTAAGTAGAGAGTGTACCATACTGTAGTTGTACAAGCCTGTATGCCTTCATGGTGTTAGATTTAATTGCGGTATCCATTGTTGTTTTGTTGTTCAGGCCTACATTTTCAGACTGGGAGAGTGTGCTCTAAAATTGTTTTGAGTCCTTTTCATACAATGGCATTAAACCGGAATATCTGAGTGAAAATGTAAACAACAGTAAAAAACAGAGCTAAAGATTTGTTGTTGTGTAATGACATACCGTATAGTCGTAGGCACATGTTTTTGCAACCTTCATTTAACAATGTAATCTAAGTACTCTTTAAAAGTAGACTAAGTGAAATCATTTTAGTTAATTTAATAAAGTGTAATATTATTTATATAGTGACTTTTAATTTAAATACAGTAGGTCTATTATAACAATCGCTAAATATATAAATTCATGATCTTAATGCCGTTAATGTTCTCAACATCATTGTCTGTATATACATTCTATAATTTTTCTATCTAAGATCATTTTAATTAATTTAATAATGTGTAGGCCTAATATTATTTATATAATGACTTAAAAACGATCTATGGGTCATATATTTATCAACATTGTTGTTTTTTTCTA